GTTAAGAACACTGACTGTTCTTGCAGAAGACCCGGGTTCGAATCCCAGCATGCACATGGGCAGCTAACAACTGTCCAAAACTCTAGTTCCAGGGGATCTGACAGCCTCTTCTGTCCTCTGTAGGCATTGCATGACGTGGGTGCACTTACCTACATACAGACAATACATGCATACACATAAAATAAAAATAATAAATTTAAAAAAAAAAGTAAATGCACAAGCCAGGCATGGTGGCACACGCCTTTAGTCCCAGCACTCAGGAGGCAGAAGCAGGAGGATCTCTGTGAGTTCAAGGTCAGCCTGGTCTACATAGTGAGTTCCAGGCCAGCTGGGGCTACAGGGAGACCCTGTCTTAAAAAGACCCCCCCCAAAAAAAAGTAATGCACAAATGTGAAATTTGTTCAATCTCCCATGACATTAAATTAGAACACATACAGCAGTCTTGTACAGCAGTCTTCTGTGCATTATGTGTGTTAACATAGTGACTTTGGGGCTGCTGGGATTGAATGTGGGTAGTGACCCCTAAGGTGCACATGTTAAAGAACTGGCCCACAGGGAGGTGGTGAAAGCTTGGGGAGGTGGGACTTAGTGGGCAGTCTGTAGGCCACGTGGGGGTGGTGACTACAAAGGGTAGCAGAACATTCCCTCTGACCCTTGCTCCTGCTGTGATATACCAAGACACAGTGGCCTCACCAGGACTCAGCCAATGGATCCCAGCCTTTGAACCTCCAAAACTGAGAGCTAAATAGACTTTTTCCCTCTGTAAGTTAGTTTTCTCAGGTATTTTGTTATATAGTGAAACAAAGCTGCTAATACAGAGGTAGCTGACTGACTGGCTTTTAGGTAGTAATACTGTATTAGTCACTTTTCCTGTTGCTGTGACAAAATACTCTGACAAGAGTAACTCACAGGAGAAGGTTTATTTCAGTTCATAGTTCAAGGTCTAATTCATCATGGTGGGGAAGTCAAGGCAGCAGGGGCTTGAAGAAACTGGTGATACTCTGTCCACAATCTATGTCCACATACTACTATGCCCACAATCAGGAGCATATATGCCGCTGCTCGGCCCCCTCTCTCTGCTTATATGGTCCATGATCTCCTGCCCAGGGAATGGTCCTGCCCATAATTAAGACAGCCCTTCCCATATCAACTAACACAATCAAGGCAGGCTCAGAGACCCATCTCCAAGTTGATTCTAGAGTCTGGCAAGTTGGTAGGCAACCCTAACCTTCCCCCCTGTGGCTAACCCAGCCCAAGGTGGCAGAGGTCTAGTGTGCACCATGTCTCCATGGTAACCACCCAGGGCTCCATGTGTGGGAGCAAGAGGAAGGCATATATACCTCTTAGAGCTGCAGGAGCTTCTACAGGCTTCTGTGATGTCGTTAGATTCCCCAAGTTCTGTAGGAAAATGGAAGAAAGGTTAATGAGGTCTTTCACCCAGTTCCACTCCATTAATTTTATAAGAATGAAAAAATAGGTTCTTGTACCCAAGAAAGAGCCAATTATCTATCTCCATGCTGCAGGGCATTTTGAAATTTTGTGTTCAAGGGATGTGCAATTCCTAACACATAACAATATGAGGCTCCTGATGGCCGCCGGAGATGGGATTCCACCTGATATTCCACCTGAATGTCACTGGCAAACCACATAGCTACCAGACCAGAATGAATATTTCATTCAGTTCTACAGGTGAAATGAGCAATTACCAAGACAGTGGAGACATGAAAAACAACAATTTCTTTTAAACATCAGAGACATAACATGATCTTGGGAGAAGTTTCTCAGACTTCTGTGACATGGTCTTGTATGTGGCATCTGCTGGTATGGGTGTGGAGGGAAGTGGGAAGCAGCTGGTCATCTCCAACAACATGCTACATCTTACCTAAAATAACTAATTCATCCATGTCAGATTTGCAGGTCTCTTTTACCACAGGAGCATGAGAAAGCACTTCAGTTACTGGGCCAACTTGTAGCACAGCACAGCCTGAAGAAAGGAAGAAGGGGGGTTTCATCACCAAGAGGCAAGACAGGGGTAGTCACAAGTCAATTGGTAAAGCGCAGGCAGGAGGACCTGCATTCAAGTCCCAGAATCAACATACTTCTATACCTAAGGCTCATGGAACATAGAACAGGAGTAAAGAAGATGACATTAATGAATCTCTCAGTTCTCAATAATGGAGTCCCTCATGCAGCAGAGGGTCAGGAGCACAAAAGGTCACAAATAGCCAAAGTGTAAAGCTCAAGAGTCTGCTGAATGCTGGTCTTTGGACAGGACCCCTTTATTAAACTTCTCCCACCCAAGGCTCAGGGACCATCTCAGAAGAGGAGGAAGAAAAATTGTAAGAGCCAGGGAGGAGGTGCATGACTATATGGAAACAGAGTCCTACAAGCTCCTAGGACCCTGCTCATATGAGTCTATGGCAATGGTGTCAGCATACACAAGTCCCATGCAAACTCAGCAGACAAAAACCCAGCATAGAACTGGGAAAATAAACAGCAGACCCCAATCTTATCTGAAGAAATATTGGCA